TTCGTTTTTTTTTCTTTTTTCTGTCTTTATTTATTTCTATCTATCGTTCTATCTTTCTTTCTTTCTTTCTTTTCTTTCTCTCTCTCTTTATTCTATCTATCTATCGTTTCTCTCTAAGTCTGTTGTTTGTCTTCCTCCTTCTCTTTCATTCTCTTCCTCTTCTTCCTTCTCCTCTCCTTTTCCCCCTTCCTTCTCTTCCTCTTCTTCCTCCTCCTCCTCTTCGCCCCCCTCCTCCTCTTCGCCCCTCCCCTCCTCCTCCTTTCTCCTCTTCTTTCCCCTTCTTCTCTTTCTCCTTCCTCTCTTCTCTTCTCTTCCTTCCTCCTCTTCCTCCTCCTTCTCCTCCTTCCTTCCTCTTTCCTCCTCCTCCTCCTCCTCCTCCTCCTCCTCCTTCCTCTCTCCTCCTCCCCTCTCCTCCTCCTCCTTCCTCCTCTCCTCTTCTTCCTCCTTCTTTCTCTTCCTCTTCCTCTTTCCTTCTCTTCCTCCTCCTCCTCCTTCTCTCTTCCTCTTCTTCTTCCTCCTCCTCCTCCCTCTCCTTCTTCCTCCTTCTTTCTCTTCCTCTTTCCTCTTTCTTTCTTCTCCTCCTCTCTCCTCTCCTCCTCCTCCTCCTCTCCTCCTCCTCTCCCCTCTCTTCCTCCTCTTTCTCCTTTCTCCTCTTCTTCCTCCATCTTTCTCTTCTCTTCCTCTTTCCTTCTCCCTTCCTTCCTCCTCCTCCTCCTTCCTCCCTCCTCCTCCTCCTCCTCCTCCTCCTCCCTCTTCCTCTTCTTCCTCCTCCTCCTCCTCCTCCTCCTCCCCTCCTCCTCCTCCTCCCTCCTCCTCCTCCTCTCCTCCTCCTCTCCTCCTCCTCTCCTCTTCTTCCTCCTTCTTTCCTCTTCCTCTTCCTCCTCCTCCTCCTTTCTTCTCTTCCTCCTCCCCTCTCGCCTTCCTCCTCCTCCTCCTCTCCTCCCTCTCCGCCTTCCTCCTCTCCTCCTCCTCCTCCTCTCCTCCTCCTCTCTCCTTTCTTCTCTTCCTCTTCTTCCTCCTCCTCCTCCTCCTCCTCCTCCTCCCCTCCTCCTCCTCCTCCCCTCTTCGCCTTCTCCTCCTCCTCCTCCTCCTCCTCCTCCTTTCCTTCTCCTCTTCTTCCTCTTCTTTCTCTTCCTCTTCCTCTCCTCTCCTTTCTTCTCTTCCTCCTCCCTCTCGCCTTCCTCCTCCTCCTCCCCTCTCCCTCCTCGCCTTCTCCTCCTCTCCTCCTTTCTTCTTTCTCCTCTTCTTCCTCCTTCCTCCTTTCCTCCTCTCTTCCTCCTCCTCCTCCTCCTTCCTCTTTCTCTCCTTCCTCTCCCTTCCTCTCGATCCTCCTCCTCCTCTCCTCCTCCCCTCCCCTCCTTCTCCTCCCTCCTCCTCCTTTCTCCTTTCTTCTCCTTCTTTCTCTTCCTCTTCCTTCTCCTCCTCCTTTTCTCTTTCCTTCCCTCTCGCCTTCCTCCTCTCCTCCTCTCCTCCCTCTCGCTTCCTCCTCCTCCTCCTCTCCTTTCTCCTCTTCTTCCTCCTCTTTCTCTTCCTCTTCCTCTTCCTTCTCTTCTCCTCCTCATCTTCCTCTCCTCCTCCTCCTCCTCCTCCCCTTCTCCTCCTCCTCCTCCTCCTCCTCCTCTCTCCTTCCTCCTCCTCCTCTCCTCCTTTCTCCTCTTCTTCCTCCTTCTTTCTCTTCCTCTTCCTCCTCCTGCCTCCTTTCTCTCTCTCCTCCCCTCTCCTTCTCTCCTCCTCTCTCCTCCTCCTCCCCTCTCGCCTTCCTCTCCTCCTCCTCCTCCTTTCTCCTCTTCTTCCTCCATCTTTCTCTTCTCTTCCTCTTCCCTTCCTCTTCCTCCTCCTCTCCCTCCTCCTCCCTCCTCCTCCTCCTCCTCTTCTCCTCCTCCTCTCCTTCTCCTTCCTCCTCCTCTCTCCTCCTTTTCTCTCTTCTTCCTCCATCTTTCTCTTCCTCTTCCTCTTTCCTTCTCTTCCTCCTCCTCTCCTTCCTCCTCCTCCTCCTCTCCTCCTCCTCCTCCTCCTCCTCCCTCCTCCTCCTCCTCTCCTCCTCTCCTCCTCCTCCTCCTCTCTCCTCATACCCCCTCCGTTAATATGACTCACAAGATGTTTATAAAAAAAATATTCTTGTTTTGATTTTTATTCATTTATTCATGTCTTTTATATATATATATATTCTCCTCTTTCTCTCCTTCCCTCTTCCCACTCTTCCCTCCCTCCTTCTTCTTCTTTTCCTCTCCTCCTCCTTCCTTCCTCTTTCCTCCTTCTCCTCCTCTCCTCCTCTCCTCCCTCCTCCTCCTCCTCCTCCTCCTTCTCCTCCCTCTCCTCCTCCTCTTCTCCTCCTCCTCTCTCTCTCTCTTCCTCCTCCTCCCTCTCTTCCTCTTTTGCTTCCTAATTCATTCTTCTTCTTCCTTCTCCTTCCTCTCTTTCCTCCCTTCTCCTCCTTTCTCCTCCTTCCTCTTTCTTTCCTTCTCCTCCTCTCCTCCCTCTTTTCTTCCCAATTTCTCTC